ATCAATTCTGATTATGATGATAATTGTCTTTTGAGAGAAAATTGGAAAGTGGCATCAGTTTACTAATTGATCATTTGGGTCCCTATCAAATAATTGAATAACCATGTTTCCTCTTTCGAGAACTCTATTGTTCAATGTCAAACAACGACATACTTTTTGTGTCTGATTGAATCTTTTGAGAATCATTGACTATCCAACAAAATGGTTATTTAATACTGTTCTAAAAAATTATTTTGAAAAATCAGAATTCTAATTTATATGGTGAATACTTTTGTCCCAATGGGAATTTCAAGAAATCACTCACCAATTATAAATTAGTATTATAGCAAATCATAAAATACTTTTAACATATGTTCATCTGGCCAAAGCTGTTGAAGCTATATGTATTTTGTGTATTTTATGTTTTGGCTAGCTATGCAGGTATTTTCTTTGCATGATTAGTTTCTGCCCAAAGGTGCAACAATCATGCAATTTGCGTTTGGTTTGATTCTCCATAACTCGACTACTTCCATGATGAATCTTGCAAAATCGAGAATGAGTAGGTAAATTTACCAATCCTTTGTCTTAATTTTCTTTGAGTTCTAAATTGGATTAAAATTATTGTTGAAAAATTGATGTTATTGAGATATCTAAGTGTTTATTTTAATCGACTTTGTTTTAGAATTAAAACATAAATTTTGAGTTTGAATTCTCTTATTAGGTTTCATTTTTAATTGATGACCTAATCTTTAACACATATGCTCATACACTAAAATAAAATAAAATTTGTAGTCATTGCATAAGTTTTTTTTTCATTTATGGAACTTTTAATTTGAACCCATTAATATATATATATATATATATATATATATATGTATTTGATCTTTATTGATTCAACTAGCCTATATTTTGTTATATGAAAACCACTTTCTCTAGTGTTTAATCTTGCAATTTTGAGTGTTTGCCCAAGTGGGAGAAATAATGTATTATGGCTTCACACTCATCAATTTTGCATGCTTTTAATGGTCATAGTTTTGGTAGATAAAACGTACATTATCATACTTGTTTATATTTTATATATGCAACTAATCTTGCAAGAAATTCAAGAAGGGTTAATGTAATGAGTATATTCTGCTCAAAAGTGTTTTGCTTATTAATTCTTGTTTGTTGTTCAAGAAATTGGATTTGTGATTTATATGTTATTGAGGAATAATTAATCTGCTCAAAAGTGTTTTCTTATTCAGTACAACTATAAATCAATATATAGTGAAACATGGAATTGACAAGATTGTATATACTTCATCTGCTCAAAAGTGTTAAAGCTATATAAGTTTACCCTTGTATTTTATGTTTTAGCCATGCAAACCTAATATAATTAGTTTATGTCCAGAGATGATTATGGAATTATATGCTTTTGATGCGATAAGAAAACATTTAGTTAAAGTTTTCTATTTCTGTCAAATGTTAGATGACCAATACTAACCAAATGATTTTGTATAGTTTTTCAGTCATAAGAGTCACTTCCTTACAGATATCTAGAATAAAGATGTTGAGCTCACAAATTTTATGTTCTAGATCCCATGACTAATTGTTTTTCAATGGGAGTATGTGAAAGGTATCTGTTTCATTTTGTAGACATTTACAAAGTTTTGTTTTACTCTCTTAATCAGTGGGAGTAATAATAATTTATCTATATAATTTTGTCTCTGTTAATCAGTGGGAGTAAGAGATGACCTTTTGTGTTAAAAATTTTGAAGTGTTAGTGGCTGATACTTTAAGAGTAAATTTTGTTTAAATCTTGTTCATAAGTTTTAATAAGAGGTCCTGATTTTGTAAACAATATGTCGTATTTTACTTGTTCTCTTATTATATTCTAAATTGACAGAAAAGTTGAATTTTGTTACCAACCTTGTTGAGTTCTTTTGTGAACTACTTTTGTATTGAAATATATTTTCATAATTTCAGTTCGACTATTGTGAGCTAATGTTTTGACTATTAGCTCTTGACACCATGATTTTGTTAGCACAAAGTGCTTTAAGTTGAATGTGTATGTGATCTTGGAGTGCAAGGAATAGACCAAGTTGTTCTTTGTTTTCTTTGGTTCTGCATTCGATTCAAAGTGACTGGTTGCTAGGAAAGGTTATTACATACTTATGAAGACTCAGTGATCACCATGAGTTCTTATTTTGTTAGGATGAATTATTGACATTCAAGTGGGAAAATGTAAGATTGTGAATGACAATGAATGTTGTATTGGATCATTTTGTTGTAAGCAAGTTGTTAGCAACCAAAGTGATCCGATAGTCCTAACATAATAAGGATTATGGAGTCTTATCCCTTGCAATTAACCTAGAGGAAATCTGATAGATTTTATTACGAAGATGTAGAATCATGGTGGGACTTAAACACTAGAGAGATAGGGTCAATCTTCACAGCCAATGATAGGTCGGCTGTGTTAAAAACCCTAACGATATAAATACCACGGTTAAGTCCCTACTTCCATACGCTTGTACTCTTAATCACGCCAAAACCTATTCACGGTAGAGAGACATTTTGAAGTACTGGAAGTAGAAGATAACCTATGAACTCAAGCCACCATGTCCCCAATCGGTACAGGTTAGTGTCATTCATCTCCTTCTTGTCATTATCATGATGCATGTTAAATTGTGATCCTAGAACCATGTTGTATTAGTCCACCTTACAAAGTCATCTATCATTTCTTCCAATCGACAAAACTATTCAAATTTTTGTTTGAGACGCCACCTTCTTCGACACTCCTTTTTCTTGATATCCAAAGCCCTTGGTCTTATTCCGTCATCCCCTAGCAGTTGCTCCACCTTGTTTCTAACCATAAGTTGAAACACATTCTTCTGCAGAGCCTTACTGCCAAGGCATGCCCACACAAACTTTGATGTGTTCATGCCAAGCATTTCTGGTGGTAATTTAATTACTTGTTTCTTTGTGGGAGTTCCTACAAATACAAGTCACAGTTGAAGGTTTCAATACAAGCACTATTATACTTTACACTAATCTAAACTGCAGCAAAGGGGATCCGAACTTGGGTGCATGGAGAGAGCACATTCGCTCTAGCCGATGTGGCTACGCCCACGTCTACAAGTCATAATTGAAGTTGGTCATGGTAAAGAGCTTTCATTTGTTTGCTACATTTAATGGTATATTCCTTGCAGACGTGGAAGAGCGGATGTTGCTCCCAACATCCACAAAACATGCTTCCAAAGTCCAAAAGCAAACCTACTTTTGCTTTTCCTTTGTAGCACTCCACATGGTTGAGAGAAAATGGTTGCCAACTCATAATTATATGAGCCAAACACAACACTACGCTCCGGAGTTTGAACTTTGAATCCCTTCTCTGTCGTTAAAAAGAAAAAAAAGATATATTTCATAATTTTCATCTGCTAGTGTTCCATTATATTGTCCTGCAGTTGACTATGAAAATTTAGACATAAGAAAGTGTTACTACTCACCATCATTCGCAACAATCCCTCATCAATCAGCTTTGGGATGCTAAATCCAAGCACCAAGAGTGCAGCTGCTGCCGGGCAGACGGCAGCGTGCTTGATCACCTTCTACTTGGAAATTTCCAGGGCCCATCCAAGACTCTGATCAGCAAGAACACAAGTGATCTGATTCCCATTTCCTCCATTAATCTGCTCGATAAGCTCCTCGAATTTTCCGGGCGTAACCTGGGCGATTGCTGCAGAAAACTTGCCTGGTTTTGCCCTATCTTCCAAGGATTCTAACCCATCAGAAATAAACACATGATGAATTTTACTCCCTATGCTCTGTTCACAAAGTGAACTTGATACCGTGTTTTGCAAGGCATCTTGAAAGCTCAGACAAAGGAATTACATGCCCTTGTGCTGGATAAGGAATCACCAAAACATGTGGGTTGGCCATTTCTCCTTTTGTTTTCTTGGCTAGGTTTTTTTTTTTAGCACAACGATATTCAAACTACTTTAATTTATAAGGAGAAATATTTGAACTTAGGTATAAGGAGATGGGAATAGTGACTTGATCAACTTGTCTAACTCATATATGTTTACGATGTTCAATCTCAAGTTTGTATCATTTTTAAAGAGAGGTTGGGCGTATAAGACCAAAAGGTCAAGAAGTTGCCTTGATATTAATTGGAATCAACTATTAAACTAATCCTAACCACCACGTTATGGCCTGTATTCCACACGATACGTCTTGGGTGCGATTCGTGGCACATGTGAATCACACAATTGTGGTCAGGAGAGACTGAAATTCCTCTGTCAATCTTCCTGAGTGTCGTGGCTTCGAAATTCATTATTGTCCTTTATTTTGGTGTTATTTTCTGGTTTATATGCTTCATTGCTTTTTGAAACGGGCCTTGGGCCACATTTGTGAAAGTCTGGGCTGGTTCCTAGAAACTTTGGAAACTCTGGGCCTTGGGCCACTCCCCCCCCATCTTCTGACTTTGACAAATGTCAAATTCAATAAAGAGAAAAATAGAATTTCTTTATTTCGAAAAATTTCAAATTTAGTCTTACTAACATTATTTATTGATTAATAATACGCCAAGGAATTAAACTACAGACCTGATGAAAAAAAAAATCATAATTAACTAGAACAAGGAAACCAAAACATTATGGTACAAGGAAATACAAAATCACGCAAACCTTGATCTTTCTTACAAATTTAAAAGTCAAACCTATCTTTTTTTAAAGAGCACTTGAGCGAGCAACGAATATACAAAACTAACTTGTTGCCCTTCCTTATGCCATAATTTGTTCTTGGACGCGTGCTTTCTTTGTATTTCTTTCTTGTCTAAGTATAATATCATTTTTTTTAGTTAATTCACAATTTTAATTTTATAACTTTACCCAACGGAGTGTTTTAATGTTCCGAATTTCCTGTCCCAAAACCCTCTTCTCTGTTAGGAGTTTTGCAACGTTGTAGACCAAATACCAATTCAAATTAAGCTTTTGACTTAAAAATTTTGCAGTTAGTAAAATAATCATAATCCCCAAAACTGACTAAAAGTGGAAATTAAGCCAAATATCCCAACATTCTAGTCCGATCAGTTTCTTGCTCTCATCGAACACATTCAAGCAGGAGTGGTGTGAAGTCTGTTGAAGTTCTCCGACTAGGAAGGCCAGAATATCCTTGTATGTGCTCCTAATTGTCCCCATCGCAACATCAGTTACTTGATGCACATCTTCAATAGTTTTGCCATTCGAAAGACGTAGCGCTATCATGTACAAAACCGTTGCCACGACAGATGCCGGGCTTCTTCTTATGTCGAACTTCTTCAAATTCTTCAGAGTCTCCTCCACAGCGTTCCTATCTCGAATACTATTCATACCAAGATTCGAGCAATATCTCCCCCAAAGGTTCTCGGCGTCTGTAGCTTTGGAACCGATCTCCAGCTCTTTCTCCAACAGCTTTACCATTTTGTTAATTTCTTTCCTAGAGGGTCCGTTGGGAGCCTTGGCAATTTCATTGGATGTTCGCGAGTTATGGTTTTCCTGGCAAGCAAGAAAGAGGCAAGCGGTCAATTATGTGCTTCTTGTAAGAAGCATTTCAAGTATTTTTTCAGGTACCAAAAACATTTTTCTTGAATCACCAACTGCTACGTAAAAAGTGAAAGAAAAAAAATTGTTTCAAGAGATTTTTAATCAGGTCAAAAATAATCTTTTAATAGCAGAACTAAGCGTAGGCTCGTGGCCGAACTAAATCATGACTACATCCTTTGCACTCAAGTTTCAAAGAAAAAAAAACACTTTCTTCCAAACGAATTAAGCTAGGCACAGAGTCAGAGACTCCCTCTTTTGCGCTTAAGTTTCAATAGAAACTCCTTTGTAGTTTAAATTAAAATATCAGTCGTGTTTGTAATTGTACGAGCAATATAGGGCTGACCTGGACCACACAAATGGTACACAGTCAAAGGAATTAACCATCCGACATACATTCCATGAGCAATCTAGGGCTTGGTAATTCAGGTCCCACATTCCACGTGGCAGCAAGTCCCATGTCCTAATCTAAACCCACGTGGAGAACAGAAAATGATGGTGAAATTTACAGTAAAAACACCAAATCCATGGTGTTGTCAGCAGTCAACATTTCTGTTGGGAAAGTGCCAAAAAATCCCACCAAATCCCAAGCTTCTTCGTACAAAACCAACCAATCAAGCAAGCAACCCCACAGAATTTTATCGTCATTTTCGTCAAAAATAAAAAAATAAAACACTTTGGTGGATCATCAAGTGATTAGATTCTGATGATGCAGACAGACAGACAGACAACACAAGTACTTTTCAAGAGAACAACAAAAGACAAACAAATGATTTTTAAAATCCCCATGAAGTTGGAAGCTTCGGCAACCTTTTCAGATAGATTTTCTGTGTTCCCCCACCGAAAATTCAAGGGCCAAATTATTAATGTCAGAATAAAGAAAGATACTATCATTAATGTCAGAAAAAAAAAAGTTAAAATTACAACCAACTTTCATAATATTATTCAATTTTCCTAACTAACTTGGAACTGTTTTTCATCTTCAACATCTCAACTCTCTCTCCCGGTTCATCCAGCACAGCTTTATGCAGAAAAAGACCTGTGAAAACGGTGAAAAGAGCGGCGGAGGAAGAGAAAAAGAGAGGGAATACGACAGTGACAGTGCCCGTAGCTACCGGAGATTCTTGTATAAATTAGGTATGGCTAGATTAAAATCTAATTTATGCAACTTAGGGCAACTAAGAGACACATCCAACGACGATCCTCCTGCTACTTCAGGCACTCTACCTATTCTCCTCAGCAACTTCATCAAAATATACAAGAGAACCATATGTACTTTCTCAAAAATGACAACAATAGGTGTTGGTTCAAAAATGAACGAGCCGCCTTTGTTACTTGGGGTCAACTTCCTGCATTCCATCTTTTTCAATCTTCTTTCTTCAATGCCAGCATATATGTCAGTAAAAGCGATCATAAACGAGTGCATGAGCGGGATATGGAATGCATATGGATGAAAAGGGGAGAGCATTCAGGCGGGAGGAGCATTCAATTCAGAATCACAGTGAAAGACAATGAACCCCTTCTGGTAGATGTCTTGGCAGTGGCTGTCCAGTGACATATCGTTGGGGAAATGGTTTTGGTGCGGTTGGAACTGTACCGGATGAAGAAGAGATGCCAGACGTAGCTGCTTGGGGGATATGGAACCTGGCAAACCGGTTGATGACGGAAAATCTTTCCAACTCCTGGCATTCCAGTCTTAAGTCTAGAATTGATACCTTGTCTAACCTGCATCATTAAAAGATAGCATGATTCATGATACAAAAGAAATTTAACTAAACGGCCGAAGACATAGCTACATATACCAAATGTGGTTATTCTGGCAGATTGACGAGGCATAGTTCTAAGGATTTATCCAATTTTCGCACATTCAAAGGATGTAGTTCTGAATCCAAAAGCACCTTTTCTTTTTACCCTTAGAAATAGGGTAAGTACCTGACGTCTGACATAACTAACATCTCTGACTATACCAGAATTTGAAAAAAAAATGGTTGAGTACCCCTGTAAACTTCTAGCAGAGTTGCAGATCTGGTTATTAAGGAAAAAGCATGCACAACCGAGCCTTAGTCCAACTGCTTACGGTCAGTTACAAGAAACATTTTTCTACCATTCATTCCCAATGAAGACTTCATGAACAGAAAACTTTGGCATACCTCAGTAAGTCATTTTCCAGCTTCTTCGATCTATACGTGAACTCTTCCACAGCTTTTGACAAGTACTGCTGATCAATATTTTCAGAAACTTTAGGCTTTTCCGCAATCCTACAAAACATTTGCAGAGGAATTAATTCTTAGAAGGCTAAAACCTCAAACCATACAACTCGAAGCACTAGAACTTTTTATAAACTTCATATTTAAATCTCTCTCTGGCTCTCTCAAAAAACCATGAAAGGCAACTTACATATCACTGTCGTTCAGTGGCGCATGAATACTTTTTCTTTTGCTGCAGGTCAGGGTGCATGCATCTCCTAATGATAATTTGGCAACAAAATATGCCACACTATCATAGTACAGCACAGCGTCTGCTGAGAGAATGGATGCTGGTGCAGGGCCGAGCAATTGCTGCAGAAACTGTGTTGTGAAGATAAGCCTTCTCTTAGATCGAAGGATCGGACGTCCATCTTCAATCATTTCAAACTCATGTCCAACCTGCCATTAAAAATGAACAATACATAAACACTTGGATCCAAATACCTGGGAAATGTTTTAAAGTGGAATGAATTGCATGGTGTGACCCATTTAACTAGAAGCTCACTTTCTCAATCAGCCGATTGCATGCCAAGGCCCATTCTTGCTCTGCCATACTGCATAAACAAATGCAATTCAAAAGTTAATAAACAAGCAGAAACAACCCAAGGGTTGTGCGCTTCAATGAACAAAGGAGTAACTCATCTTCTACACACCAAATTTGACATAAGAAAATAAATGGGGAGCAACAGTAAATACCTGACATCTTGAACCCTTTTGGAACCTTGTGTCACTTTGTGCCATGGTAGAAGTTCTGATGTTTCAATTTTGCGTTTCTTTGGTCTCACAATACCCATACTTTCATCAATGGTATCTGAAGGTAACACACAAGGATCTATGAAGGGTTCACTTGTTATCAAATTCGTCGCTGTACTTGGCCAGACTCTGTTGCTTTGACTAGCATTAGAAGCATCTATCTGTTCCACAGAAGAATGTATGTTTAGGCTCTGAGAAGGCTTCATAAGTGAGAACTGCCCCGTAGCAGGCCTTGCATCATACATTGGTTGCATCTGCCCATTTCTGAAAGTCCCATACTGTTTAAACCAGTTTGATGCCATGCTTAGATTGGCCTGAGAAGTTTCACCATTATGAGATAGCACATTATTGCCAGTAGATTGGCTCTGAGAATCACTTTCACCAAATGCAACCATGCCTTGGGCTTGGAAAGCAGCTTGTGAAGAAGTTTTTACACTTGGACCTTCTCTTGCATCTGCCAGGAAACTTGGTGCATTGGAATTTCCAAGTGGTGATAACTTGTGAGTTGATGTAGAATTCAGTTCACCATCATTGTTATGACCATAAATTGACTGCTGTCCTTCCATAGCAGTTACCTGTTGTACATCCAGATCCCTCCTACTTGGATCGGCCTCTTCATTCTTCGTAGCCTGCACTTGGTGTAGCCGGGAGTAGTCATGATGAAATCCATGTGAATGTTTTAAAGCATGGCCAAGAAATCCAAGATTTCTTGCAGAGGGAGCCAGGCCATTGTTGTTGCTATGTTGTATTCCACCAAGATCCTGCAGTTGCGAATGATTCAACAATGAACCAGAGGCAAAAGCACTAGGATCAGAGACATTCCTTACCCCTGTCTGTGAAGCATCAAGCATCCTCTCCTTCCCTTGCTGCTCTTGTGCAGAAATGAAGCCTTGTAAACTTGTAGTGGAATGGCCAAATTCAGAGGACCCATATCCACCATCCTGGGTATTCAGACCATTTAGCTCCTTCGAAGCCAACGAAGTAGTTTCCATGCCAGAAAGATGTTGCTGACTTGGGTTATTCGTCCATAAACTCTGTGGCTTCACTGATACTCCACCCCGTGCAGGCATGCCTGACATAAAAGGAGGCTGAGAAACTGGAGCAGCTTCAAGAACAGGGAATTGTTGACCACCAGAGTTGACAAAAGACTGCTGAGAAGTATCTTGAGATAGAGCAAGGTTGGAAGGTGGATGTCTTGCAGCAGAACCAGTTAATGTTGTCTGATTAGATGGACCAGGTACATTAAACAGATGTTGCGTTTGAAGTTGATTCCTTGAAAATGTAGGACTGGATGTAATTTCTGCAATAGAGCTTCCATGCATATAAGATGTAGGGATGCTCGATTGTCCACCGATACTAAATTTATCATCCCAACGGGATCTCGGTGATGATTCATGTGATTGGGGCAAAGATTGAGAAGGGGACGGAGTAGACCAGGTCTGATTTTTCTCTCTTAAACTAGAATCCATTTGCATTTGATTGGAATTAGTAGCTGGTTGGATCATACCCTGAGAAGAGAAAAGAGTGTTTGAATTGGATTATTGTTGAGATGGAGAAGCAAATTTCAAAGCAAAACCTTGAGATGCAGAAGACTGATTGTAGATATGAGAACCAGAAGCTCCAGGAGTTTTTGCCTCAGTTACCTCAGATAATGGATTAAATCCAGAAGGGCCAAACTGTGCGATAGAACTATTCTCCTTCGACTGGTCAACCCTGCTAAGAAGATGAAGCATATTTTGACTGTTGCGGTTAAGCCATCCAAATATTCCACAAGAATATACAAAATAGACGAGAGTGAATGTACAATAAAATTATATTGGAACAACGCAATAGTAAATATGCTAACGAATGCGAATACGTAAGGTATAATAAGGAAGGCTGCAGAGAGAATGTTTAATGTTCATTAGTATTCAAAAGAAAACTACCTTGTTTGTGCAGTCACACGCATGCCACTAGAATCCTCTGATTTCCAGTCATACAAGTTGTCCCTCTGGTAGCAATTTTGCTGCTGCTCATATGTTCCACCTTCCCTCCCATAAGAGTTATGCATAACACGAGAGCTGTCACTCATTTGACGCTGTTTTTCTCCAATGGCCTCATTATCCTCCTTGTTGCTAGATATAAAATGTTTCCCGTAATCAAGCTTATTATTATATTGGACTTGGTGACTGGTTTCTTGATGGACATTAGTCATGTGTGAATTTTGCACGGAATGAAAGTTAAAAATATTTGAATTTTCTCTGTTCCTAAGAGTATCCTCTGAGCCCGATTGTCCTTGCTCCAATTGTCCAGTTGGTCTGGAAAATGAAGTTACCCTGGAATCACCTCCCCTATTCCACATATGACTCTCAGAGTTCCTATTGTACGTGCCTTCGTGAATATCACCTGTCCAACAATCACCCACAATGTCAGGGAAACGTAAACAAGCTTCATTTCCATTACAGGGTCGAAAATGAACAATCTTACCTTCTGGTTTACTGCTTTGACTGGTCCATGTGCCGTCCAAACGCATATGTGGCTGAACCTGCTGAGGGTTACAATCCAACCACTCGCTAGAGTTTTTGGGAGACTTCTGATTGGATTCATGAGATTCATCCTGGTGAATCCCTTCTTGATGCTCAGATGTGAATTGGATGTCTGGCTGCGGAAAGCCGGGGAAGCTAGAATTAACACTTGAGTCATTAAGCATGGGAAAAGGTTTTGAACTTAAGGAAGAGACACTCTGCAGATTGTTATCAGCCCAACTTCCTTGTTGGTTCTCATTGTCCATGATGTTTGAAGGCTGATTACCAGTTGACAGCTCGGTATTCTGAAAAGTCAAACCACTCCACTCTTCTTGTTGGCCAGTATCACTACTAGAAGCTTCTGCTACAGCAGACTGCATAAGCGCACTCCAGCTTCCACTTTGGAGAGAAGGAAATGAACTTTCGAATGCATCTCCAAAGCCTCCAGCCCCAATATCACTGTGCTTTACCATAGAAGGATCCCAAGTACTATCATCCATGTTAAACAAAATCTTCTCTTCCATTGGATCAAGGGGAACCAAACTCTGTGAAGGGCCATGCTGCATTGTTTTTTGCTGACAGGTTCCCAGCCAGCCAGCTTGATCTTGCTTTCCACTGAGTTCTTGAAGTGATGTATTTGTTTGCAAGGTATTCCCTAGCTGGAGGTTACCCAAAGGGGATCCACAATTTGAACCCTGAGTAATAACGTGTCCAAATACATTTTTTCCCTGAAAGTCTTGTCGGGATACGAAACCCCCTTGAGGTGAGCAAATCTGGTCCGGAGAAGCAGTCATACAATGATCACCTACAAAGGGGTTACTGAAGGCTGATGACTGCATAGCAGGCTTCTGCATTTGATCATTAGCCTTGGTCAACAAATTTTCAGAATCCTGAGACATCGCCGGGAGATGGTACTGATTCATAGTCCCTCTTCCACTAGCAACAGGAGTACCATATAAAGATACATCAAACTGCTGAGAAGCAAGACCCATTGAGCTCAAAGTTTGACCTTGCTCTTGAGAAAAAATAACTCTATTAGAAACATTTTGTCCTGCTGGCGATCCACCCCGCTGCATCCAATTCATAAACATTTGTGGCGTATCATTAACGGGTGTTCCATTGATTAGTGGTGAAAAATGAACCCCAGAACCCTGCTTATTGATTGCAGAGAGCTGATTTACTGCATTATGTTGCCTCACATCTCCGAACTGTTGCACTTGCTGCTGCCTCTGAAGTTCTTGCAGTTTCTTAAACATCAGGTGCTGCTGCAACATCTGCATGTCATTGTACCCAGACTGCTGCATTGAGTGAAGCTGTGGAATGCCTTGTTGTTGTCCCCTCACAAGTTGTTGCTGCCTTCCAATGAAGTTAAACTCGCTGGAAGCTTCAGTAATTTCAGACCTTTCTGAATTGGTAGTCAAAGTGGGACTATCGCATGATGCATTTTCTTGCTCTGATTGAAGGATAGATAAGCCTCTTGAGGTTAAAGTATGTGGAATGAAAACTGAGCTATCACCAAAAAACTGGCTTTCCTGCAAATCCTGCCGTCCAAGCATAAACCCATTCGTCTCCAGAAGTTGGTTTCTAGACAATTCCGGTCTCTGAGACAACTGTGTATAGTTTTTATCAAACCTCAAGGACTCACCACCCCGTCCTCTCCCAGAATCTGCAAATACCACAACAGATACATTAGGGCATTCAAAAACACAAACTTGGTATTTAATACATTACATTATGCAATTGTCCTGGGGGAAAATTCAAAGATTTATCCACTAATTGGGAAACAGATTGCGAATTCCAATGCAGACATGACAATGAAAACACAGAACCTATAAAGCAATCAAGAAGACCATAAAAGGTGAAGCCACTTATACCTAGTTGCTGTACATTACTCTTCTCTCTTTGATTTCCCTGCCATTGATTATATATATGCGCAGGCCAATTACCGTCTGCAACTTGAGATTGACGGGAATAGTTGTCTAGCTCATAAAAATTATGGATCCTGCCTTCAATTTCGTTACCAGGCATTAAATTCCCAGGCACCAAATTTTCTCAGCTAATTGTTTCTGTGAAAAATAGCTACGACTATATATGAGACCATTATGCATACGGCACCTTTATCCCGCCAATTCTGGGCACTCTCCAAATTGTCCTGCATATTTCATTGGACAAATTGAGATGAGAAGTACTGACAGACAATTTGACAAAAGACCAAATAATAAATATTGAAAATTTAAACACGAAAACCTCGAAAATACAGTTACATCAGATTTCAAACTCAAGCCGGTCTCATTACGGAGAACCGCCAAAACAGTTTGCCAATTGGTACCCGCTACAACAAAGTTGCATGTGTCTTATTCGATTGCTTGCATAATAAAATTTATGAGAGAGAGAGAGAGAGAGAGAGAGAGAGAGAGATCAAATTAGGGACTTGGATGTCCAGCTACAAGATTCAAACTTTCTTCAACATCTGAAATGAAAACAGATTCGAACTTTTCGATATTCACAGTTTCTTTTCAGCACCCCAAATTTACGAATCTTATGAGAGTATGACAGCTAATATCAAAACATACGAAAGATAGCAAATTCAGCAGAAAATTATGTTAATGCGAACTCGGGATTTCAAAAACAAATCAAAGACTAAACACAAAGCACTTAAACTCTATAATTAAGCAACAGAAACCCAAATTAAATCAAAACCAAGATTCAAACTTTCCACTCAAAAACCCTAAAAAAATCCAACAAAATCTTACCCAACAACCAATGGAACCTCAATTCTCCCAAAAATACTAAGAAACCACTTGAATTTAACAAATTCCCAGGTAATTTGACTAAAATTAGAAACAGAAGACCTTAACAGCTCCAACTCTAATGTCTCATTCTTACAAGCTAAAGCAACAGAGTGTGAACTCAAAACCACAAACGAGCACAAAGCGGAGAGTTGGGAGCTCACAGTGTGATCCAAGCCAGGAGAACTAGGGTTCTTCAAAATCGCGGACAGTACGGCGTCGTTCTGCTTCTTTGCAGCTCCCAATTCACACAGCAGTTGCTTAAGCTCCAAAACGACGTCGCAAATGGCTCTCTCTCTCTCTCTCTCTCTCTCTCTCTCTCTCTCTCTCTCTCTCTCTCCGGTACTGAAGTTTCTCTCTCTAGGACTGGAGGAGTGAGAAACCGAAATTCATTTTTCGGACCCGAAGCCGAAGATAAAGCGATCCAACCAAAACACCGCTCCGAAAAATTTGTCTTGCAACAAACACTGCAGAGAGTCTCAGAAGAAAACGCCTCCCCAGCCTCGGAATCCGCACCTCAGGTTCGGACAAGGTTCGAGTAACCGAACCTACGGCAAGGGGTTAGAGGCGTTAGTGTGCTTCGCGGGTGTTCGTGCGCCGTGATTTTTCAACCGTTTGATCAATAAATTTGGATGATCGACGGTTGGCTTAGTGGGGAGACGTACTCTGTAGCAAGAGTGCGTATTGCTTGTGGCTTTGAAAGGAAAAGTGGACGGGATATTCGGATGTCACGCGCTTTTGTGCACGCGTGGAGCGGTGCACTTTATTTTCAAGCCAAACTTTTGAGCTTTTTGTTTTTTTTTTTAAGAATTTTGTAGATAATAAGTTTATATTATTTCTTATTATTTCGGTTTATTTTCCCGCCGCTGGTTTAAGCAATCCAAGTGGGTTTAAGGAAATACATCTTTTCCGGATCTCTTCTATTAAGATCACGGAATTAAGTGATTTATACTTTTGAAATTTGATCAAACGGTTAAAAATATGGGTCATTTTCATTTGATCAAATTTCAAAAGTCTGGATCATTTGATCTGATGACCTAAGATCTCTTTCTTGGGTTTAATGGCAATAGATAAGAGAACACGTCAACAATAATTGTGTTATTTGAGATAAACTTTAGAAAGGTGTATTTTTATAGTCGAGATAAACAACTTTAACATAAATATAATTTTGAATCCACCTCCCCAACTCCTAATCAATTAAATTTAATTTCTCTCATTTTAATTACTGATTAAACAACGAGGCGTAAGTGTTTAATTGTCTGGGGTTGTTATAGGTTTGGGCCAAGCCACCTAACTTTCAAGGCCCAATAGTGAATAAATCGATAGATCAACATTCTTGGCAACTATAATTGTGGAAGAGAAACACAAAAATGCAACCATATTTGGTCAATTCGTGTTTATGTATTGGTTAAGCTAAACCAAAACATGGGTTTAACTAATCTGAGGACCAACTACGAAATGAGGTATATAACGTCTGCTGAATTGAAATAGTGGGCTTTATCATGAAGCTTTATATTAGCTAAATTAACAAGTTTCAGATGAACGGAACTCAAACCTGACATTTATAACAGTGTACATCATCGTCTTCTAGGCCCCAGTTAATTCAATCATAAAGGTCAATGATGGACAATAGCATTCCCATGAACACAACTTACAAGTGGACTTTTGTAACCATTGATGCAGGTAGTAAACAAACTCAAAATGTTGATATCCACTACAGAGTAGCTATTGCGTTTTAGGCTTTGTCTATAATAGAAGTCAATGATAGACAACAACCTTCTTCCAAACACAGCTTAAAATTGACAATTTCGAACTGTTAGTGCATGTATGATTCGTAATTTATGAACAATGCGTTAGCAATGATGAAGAACATCTACATAACCAAGTTGTTTGATTGTAATATATAACATGTGTTTATGTAGTGGTAGAGTGGATTTTGATACTTCCTAATCTAGATAAAAAATTTAGTGTGCTGGGAACACTATTTGGTATACTAAGTGTCATAATATACGTGGTTGAAATTTTTTTCAAGTATCCAACTACTTGTATAACACTTAGTATACTTAATTGTATTGCCAACACAGTAAAAAATCTCTCTCTCGTTTATGTTTAAAGATAGGGAAAGAGAGATCCTCAACAATCTCTTCCACTAAGGCCACTGGATTAAGTGATCCGAGCCTTCCAAATTTTATCCAATGGTCCACCTATTTTGATCCCTTAAAAGCTGTGATAATTTTTGGTTGTTGGATGAAATTTGGAAGGCTCGGATCACTTGATTTGGTGGAAAAGATCCAGAGATGATCTCTTTCCTAAAGATAGTAGAGTATTGCAGAGTTGGTGATAGAGATTTTGATTCTTAGCACACCAATCATGCCACAATAAGATTAATTATAATTTGTTTGAGTACAAACACCAAAACGGGGATGTAGCTCAAATGGTAGAGCGCCCGCTTTGCATGCGGGAGGTACAGGGTTCGATCCCCTGCATCTCCAAATCATTTAGTTTTTATGTATTTTTTATTATTATTAATTTTCTAAAATAATCAGTTTTGCTGCTATCTCATGCTCACAGGAAGGAGAGCGATTGGATGTCGGACAAGTATATCAACACATTATTGACTATCCGCATGTCGTTCACATTGCTTCGTATGTTTTATACATGTTTGAAATGTTTGTGAGTATAAATGAAAAGTAAATAACGATGTCATCATTCAGTTTTTATGTATTTTTTTTATTATTATTTTTCTAAAATAATCAGTTTCGCTGCTATCTCATGCTCACAGGAAGGAGAGCGATTGGATGTCGGACAAGTATATCAACACATTATTGACTATCTGCATGTCGTTCATATTGCTTCGTATGTTTTATACATGTTTGAAATGTTTGTGAGTCTAAATGAAAAGTAAATAACGATGTAACATCATTTCATCATGTAGTTAAACAATCCAAACCTAAGAATTCCCCCACAAACACAAATGTAAATGACGATGTGATATCATTTCATCAAACGGTTAACAATCCAAACCTAAGAACTCCCCCACGAACACAAATCCACAAACATCACCGCGTAAACAGAGGCAAATGTGGGTGAACTGATTTACACACCCATCTATTTTGCACTTATTTCTGGTGCCAAGGAGTTACAATTATAAATTAATCCCAGGTTTTACAAGTATATATGTATCCATTTGAATCGGACTATTGTCGTACCCACAATTTATAATCCGATCCTTTGTCAACAAACGTCTGCCAGCTCCCTTCCAAATGGTTTTCCTTTGACGGATTCCAATCGAAATCTCCAAGCTTCATTACCAGTGTATCACCTATCTGTGCAACGTAACCTTCATTGTTCGCGTGGTATATCTTCACTGAGCTCCGGCAATGGATCCCGGCCCTTCTCCGAGCGTCTATTAGCTCGGTTAGGATGTCATGGAGACCAAAGTCGTATAAATGGTCATAGAAAATGACAGGCTGCAACAGAGGTAAAGATTGCAAAGTTAAATAGCAGCCATTTGTAATGGCAACTAAGGGATTAAGAACTCACTGTTCCAGGATGCGTCAGGATGTATGCGTATCCCTGCGTAAGCTTATCTCGTGGAAACGGCCAATGGCCCTGAAATAAAATGAAAGAAAGTTCCTACATTAGGTGTCTAGCACTTAAAAACCAGTAACTGGCTTCTTGTGCTTCGTTAATGGCACTATGACATCGTATAAGGGGATATTTGGGTTCAGTGCTCGTGTGCGTGCGTGTGCATGCGTGTGTGCGAGAGAAAAGGGAAGAGGGACCTGTGTTGATCCTGTGTCGTGGTTCTCCAAAAACGTGACAGCACGAGAGGGCCACCATCCCAGAACTCCAGTTGGTTTACCTTGAGGATCTATTAATCTCCAGTATTGGTTATGAAGAGCGGAGTGGAGTATTCCCTGAAAAATGCAATACTAAGTATGCATTGGGCTAAAATATGCAGCCGCATAACATAAATTTCACCATTAGGTAAATTATCAGATATAACTTTCGTTTTTATTTATAAAAAGATAACAAAGGTTTGACAAGCAAAACCATATCAATTGTCACATTACTTTTCAAATTTTCCCCGGCCCGAGTGACAATGTTCTTAGCCTTGTTTCTGTGGGTCAAACTAATATAGGATGTAGCAGATGCAGTCTAGCAAGTACCTTTGTAGTGACATCAAATGCAGAGGAAGTACCGCCTGTGGCATTGATCCAATTAACAATTCGTTGCCGGTGAGCATCTACAGAACCAGAAAAGTTAATTTTTTTCGTTAAGTTCACCATGCTAAGAAAAACAGTAATCACATCGTTGCTTCTGGCCACAAAGGAGTTTTACTAAGTTAAGGAGGCATATAATTGTATCTCGCAGTAACAATATTGTGGTTATCTTCTTTGTTACTCTTCTATCTTCTTGTTCAACGTTGTAAATTCAATCTAGGGTTCACAAGTTCATACCTTGATTGTAACACAAGTTTCCATTTTCATAATCCAAGCTGTCCCAATATTCTCCAATAGCAAACGCAGGAACCGAAGCTTCAATATATTCTTTTACATAGGTACCCGAAAAGCCTCTGGAACAACACAAAAGGAGTTAATCGCATGCTATGGATTAAAAGGAGAAAGAAATTTCTAAAGAGTTCAGACATCTGCACTTTGGGTCAAACTAAGAAAAGACCTTGAACCTTCGCCCCCCCCCCCCCCCCCCCCCAAAAGAAAGCACTTTCACCTTACAAAGTCAAGTCGCCATCCATCAAAACCAATATCACTTCGAAGCCAATTTAGCAACTCCTTTATGTCATTTCTTACGAAGTCCTTCGAATGATCAATATTGGGTGCTGCATGGAATATATCCCCTACGCACAGCATTAACAGCAGATGAGTACACGGGTAAGCTTAAAATTTCAGCAGCCTCTAGGACATGCATATACTTGTAAACTTCATGAGGTTATCCCAACATTCCCACACTGATGTGGGGTGGTAAATAGCATGTCTTGTTCAGGTCTGAACTGTTTTAGGTAAACTAAACCAAACAATCAAGACCAGAAGTGAAGCGTAGATTATGTCTCATAGACTCTCACCCTTTCCATCTTAATCATAAAGTCGATTGGAAGGGATTCTAAAACAATCAAAACGATGAACCCTTCCAAGGATCATAAAATTTACACAACAATCAAAGAAAAAATAAAGTACCACTTGAAGGATTTCCTTGGCCCTGAAAATTTGGATCATCACAAACAATTGCTTCAGGCCCCCAAGCAAGCTTCCCACCAAAAATGTTCCAAATGCCATTTGGACTCTGAAATCGGCAAGAATGTGAGTTTTACCAAGAGGAGTGACAACACATATGACCAACCGAGCATGCAACATGAAAATAATGATCTAATGTCATAAAATACCCTAAAGTTTCGAAACAGGAACAGTAAATCAAGTGTTTACCTGTTTATGTGCACAT